ATTTCTTCACACCAGATTACAACATGTTTATTGCTCCATTTAATGTTTACTTTGTAAAAATCAGCAACATGAGTATATTGTATGTTTTTATAAAGTTACTAGGTCTTAATTCTTGGAGTTAATACTGTCCTCGTATTTATCTAACACACCGTCATTCCCATCCTCTAGTGCTGTATCTTCCTTATAGGTTTTGATACCTTTCTGAAGCTAATGTGTATTAAAAAATACCCATTATTATAATAAAAATTATTATAAGTTGCTCATTCTTGTTCTAGGATGACATGCAGGTGCGAGTTTTTAACTACAATACACTAGAGAGAGTGCACATGTTTGAAGCACATTCTGATTACATTCGAGCCATAACAGTCCATCCAACTCAGCCTTTCATTCTGACATCCAGTGGTAAGTGTTTAAACCACAGCTTGTGATAGTTCACCCAACTCAATGTTTTATGTTATGGTTTTGTGGTAAGTGTTTATGTTACCCAGAAAGACAAATTATAATTACAGCAGTTCCTTTCAGTGTATACTTGTGCCTTTAGTTTGTTTCAAGAGTTTGCATGTGGTGGAGTGTCTGTGAAAAATTGTCAAGATATATAGTCTGAGATTGACTTTTCCTTTCTTCATAGAAGCATGTTACAATGAAAGGCATTGTATTGTATAATCACAGACAGGTTTCTCTTTCTCTTTTTCCTGTACTATGATCCCAGAAGTAACTAAAAAGCAGTGTTGGAACACTGATAGTAGTCTGGATGCAGTGATTTACTTTCTTATGTCATACTTAATGTTTATGATACTCTTAATTAAGTTATGGATCAATTTAACTCTCTGTGAGTCTTCGTATGGTCAAGGGTCAAAGGCCATAACATCGTGTTTGCAGACTTGCATTCAAAATTTTATTGAACTACTATTTTATGAATGTATGTCAATAAGTTTGGTATGATATTGTAGATTATAATCTAAATTTTAGTATTATACATTAGTTAATTTCTTAATTTAAAAGTAAATATTAAAAAACACAGTTAAAAC